TCTTAAAGGTCTAGTAAAGGACTTCTCTTTCCCTCTTATAGTTCGGGCACCTTAGGATAATGTGCCTAGCTATATACCTTCCTTAGCTATAGTAGTAGTCGTCTCGGTCTACCTTATTAGTCCTTTTTAAGAAGGAAAATAGGAAGCCGGCCTTAAAGAGGAGCTAGTAAAAGGCTAAGAGGGTCGGCCTAGGCCTCCCTATAAGGTCCTTTTCTAGGCTAAGGGCTAGGCAAGGGGTCTTTTAAATAGATATATAGTACTTACCTAGGCCCTTAGCCCTAGGGCCTTTAGCCGCCTCGGTAGCCTAGAGTCCCTTTTAATAGCCCTTAGTAGCTTAGCGGACCTTTTTTTATAAGTAGCTAATAAAGACTAAGGGGGTCCCTTAGGTAGGGGCCCTTAAGCTTTTTTTTAGCTAGCTAGTCGGCTAGCTTATTACTAAAGATCCTTAGGTAGCTAGGGCATTAGTATAGCTATATATTATAAAAGGCTTTTAAGCTAGATAGGAGGCTTTTAATATATATAGCTAGGTCCGATAAACTTATAACCTTTTTTATAGCGGCTAGCTATCTATAAAGATATAAGTATTTTAACGGGTAAGATCGTACCCCTATAGATATTAGCCCGTTAAAGGGATAAGACCCTTAGTACTCCCCTTCTAACTTACTTCTAAGTATACTTAAAGGCGTTATAAAGACCTCGATTATTTAATTAGGTATCTCCCTTAATTATAGTTAATTTAAATTTTTGTTTTTCCCCTTTAAAGTAGATGCCGCTAGTTACGCGACTCTAGTAGAGATAAAGAGGTATAGAGTAAAGAAATCTCTAAGACTTATATTTATAACCTAAGGCCCTTAAAGCTATATATAGGACTAATAATTAGATAATTACGTAGTTAATTACTCTACTAATCCTTAGCTATATACTATACGTGCTTTAGGTATATACCCTTATCCTCGTTAAAACTAGTCTTTAGGGCGTAAACTTATTATTCTATTTTATTTATATAGCGACGAGTAGCTTTATAAAGCCGAGAATACCTAGAGGACGACGGTACTATTTAGAAAAATTAAAATCTAGGGATTTAATAATTAAAGCAGTAACTACCTTAATAGCTAGAGTTAGGGACCTAATAAGGCGATAGACTTACCGGGAAATAAATAATTAGATAATACCTTTGCTAGTAGTAAAGGAAAAGCAATAAGCTAATACTAAAAAACCCCGAGCTCTTATTATCGGCCCTACGACCCCTAATACTAGCGACTTAGTTAAGAAACTACGATCCTTATATAATACTTTAAAAGATATAAATAACAACGATAGCGTAATCTAAACCGTTCTAGAACCCTACTAAGACCTCTTACTTATATATATACTAATAATACTAATATAGGTACTAACGAGGGACACCTTAATAACCTTAACCTTAGCTCTCCTTTACGTAGTAGCTTATAGAGAACGCTTACCTCCCGCTAATAGATAAGAAAGTAAGTAATAAGATAGTTATAATAAGATATCCTCTAACTCTAAAAACTCTAACTTTAAATTTCGTAACCTTATAATCTACGGGCATATTATATCTAGAAACGCTAGCCGTTAAGAGGGATTATCTAATCCTACTACTAGCGATATAAAGAAAACTAAGGTAGATATTAATAAGATTACTAATAGACTTAGAGATATACTTACTAGAAGCTAAGATAACCTTATAGGAAGACTCTACTAACTACGACTCTTACCTATTAGTAAATTTAATAGTAAAAACGTAATTAAATTCCTTAATATAAGAATATACCCTTATATTCCTATTTTACTATTATAAAGAAATAATAGGCATAGGGAGGCTTTATAGAATAAGCTAGTAAAAAGAGGCTCTATAATACAGTCTAAGGGAATAACCCTTAAAAGACAAAGACCTCTACTAGACATCTATACCTTCCTCTAGGAAAGGCGGGTCAGGATAAGCCTATCCTTACAAACAAAAATGTGCATAAAATGCATAAGTTAATTACGAGCAGAACGGATACCCTATTGCCTATTTTAGCCTAGCGGTTCCGAAGATATCCGCGATACAATAATAGGTAGGGCATAGAACATTCTAGTTAAATCCACTACTCATGCTAGAACCCATAGTCTTACGTCAACTATCACGCCACAATCAGACCACCTACTAAGTTAGGAAGATATACTATAGATAGAGCTTTTTAAGCACTATAGAATGTGCTAGAAAGCTGACTAATTGGTCTACTAGTGGGCGAGCAATGGTCTATAAAAGACGAAGGATTTCCCTAGGAGTAGTAGATAGAATCAGCAAGTTTAAATATATCTTTTACAACGCTATTCTTTTAATATATTATTGAGCCCCTTATATGCTCGTTATAAATTCCGGATAAAATTCTACCCTATACTCCTTCGACTGATCTTTCCGCTTACGTTATCGATTACCCGATTCTACGCTTATTGCTTATACCTTCTTATAAAAGGTATAAGTAATAAGCGTAGAATCAGGTAATCGATAATATAAGCGGAAAGATTAGTCGAAGGCGTATAGGGTAGGATTTCGTCTAGAATTTATAACGAGCATATAAGGGGCTAAATAATATATTAAAAGAATAGCGTTATAAAAGATACTTATAAACTTACTTATTCTATCTACTACCTAGGAAATCTTCGTCTTTATAGACTATTGCTCGCCTACTAGTAGACTAATTAGTTAGCTTTCTTATATATTCTATAATGCTTAAAAAGCTCTATTTATAGTATATCCTCCTAACTTGGTCTTTGTCTTTTAAGGGTTATTCCCTTAGACTATATTATAGAGCCTCTTTTTACTAGCTTATTCTATAAAGCCTCCCTATGCCTATTATTTCTTTATAACAGTAAAATAGGAATATAAGGGTATATTCTTATAATACCTAATAAGGGTTATAGTAGGTTATTAACTAAATATATAAAAATATAGATTAGGCTTATACTTATATATACTTATAAGCTCCCCCCTTTTATCTTTATAAGCGGCTTTAATAATTACTATATTTAGAAGTACTAAATATAATAGTTAACTTATAAGATATTAAGAAAGTTACTTAATAAATCTAAGTAACTATAAGTAGCTAGATTAATAAGGAAACTTATTCCCCCTTATACTTTATATATATATATATATAGTTATACTTATAAACTACCTTTTTTAAGTAGTTAAATAAAAGTATTTATACCTTAAGGAATATATTAGCCTATATAGTAAAGTCCTTAATAAGGTACTTAATAGGATCTTTAGTAAGATCCTAAGTAAAGTCTTTAGCTAGCCCTCTTCTTAATTAAATAATTCCTTAGCCTTACCCTTATAGTTTAGTAGTTATATACTTAGGAAGACTACTAGCTATAATGCTAGAGTCGGTTTAAATCCGGCTAAGGGCACGATTAATTTTTAGTCGGACTAGTAAACTACGCTAACCTACTTATTAATTCGCTAATTAGCGCTTCTAAAAGCGCTTATAAATATACTAGTAGTCTAGCCCCGCTATAAGTAGGCCGGCCCGGACCTCGCTTACCTAGACCTAGCGACTAATCTATTAGGACCTCCCCCTAACCCCGGTCTAGGCCCCTTAACTAGGAAAATAAAAACCTAGGGCTAATACTAGTAACTTAATAAGTACGGCGCGAAGCCGGTGCGATAACCTAACTACTAGCCCGGCTAAAGGCCGGTATTAGTAAAAAATAGCCCGCTAAGCCTTATAGCGGAAAAATAAAGTAAAGCCTAAGAAGATATCGTTATAAGATAAGGTTAAGGATAATTATATAATTAACTATTAACTAAAAACGCTTATACTACTAATTAACGCTATATACCCTATATATATAAAGGAGTTACTTTTTAAGGTTACTTTATAGTAGGGCTAACGCGATTCCGATAACTAAAAACGATACTTATAATAGCTAGCGTAAGATTCCTATATATTATAACCGCGACCTAGTATAAGGGCAGACTAGCTACGAAAGAGGGGAGGGTTTTCCTTTAAGCACTTTAGTTTTTCCTTTTTATTTAACGCCGAAGTTCTAGATACCTCTAGATAGGTTACTAGTATAATCTTAATTAATTAATTCCTTAGCCTTTTATTTATATAAGAAAGAAAGAAGGAAAATTTAATCTATAAAAGAGGTCTCTTTTCCCTTTTAGCTAATAAATATAATTCTTTTTATAATCCTTTTTATCTTATTTTACTAATAAAGGTTTTAGCTTTCTTTACCCTTATCTTACCTTACTTAGTACTTTCTCTTTTCCTTTATTTTCCTTAGACCTCCTCGTCCTTTATTATTATCTAGTTAGCTGCTTTTAGCTACTATTATTACTATTAATATAAGTATATCTTTAGGTATATACTATATTTATTATAAGACTACTTATAAAAGAAAGATATAAAAGAAAGAACCTAGAAGTTATTAAGTAAACTCTAGGAAACTACTTAAAAATCCTAGAAATAATAACTTAGTAAATTAAATAAAGGTTTTATAAAGACTTCCTTTTATAAGTATAATATATATAAGTATAATAGTTATCCTAACTATTAACCGGCGAGAGCTTATTATAAGTAAGATACGTCTTAGTAAGGCATTAACTATCTTTTAGTCCTATTTATAGCCCTTATAGCAGGATAATATTATACCGTTCCGAGTCGGTAATATAAGTGTATAATTATATGCTAGGGGAATCTTACCTACGTTAGCCTAGAAAACTCGTAGGGTCCTCTTGCCGCTTCGGTTTGCCCGGGGATGTCTAACCATCACGACAGTGTCATAGGGCTGGTACGTCGCTTCTTTAAAGGAAAGACGGGTCGGGGTTCATCGCATTCGCTCTCAGGCTGCGGTGTCGTGGCCACGAGTGGCCAGGCGGCCCGGGAAGGCCCGGGAAGTTGGCCGGAATGGGCAGAGCGGGCAGAGCGGGCAGCAGGAAGTTGTGGCTTGGAAAGATCCTTTTGTCTCTTCGTACCTCAAAGGCGCCATTATACATGAAGACCCCACTTCTGCTTTACATCTAGTGATAGTATATTCGCCCTTTTTAGGATAATCTCGGCAAGAGCGTTAAAGGACACGCTAGTGAGGATCTCCATGACTTGGATATAGACCTCAAACTCGCGCGCGATCCAGCTTCTGAATTCAATAGACACAAGGGAATCAAGGCCATAGGCGGAAACTGGGGCTGCCGCGCTGAAGCAGTCAATCGGACGCTGTAGGATAGCGGATGCCTTTTGCAGCAGCGCAGCGACGACGACGTCCTTGGCAGCCTCGCGGCCTTGGGCTTGCTGGAGTGCTGTAGCAGACGAAATGCAGCTGTTGCTAGTTTGGTCGGGCCTGGCCGAGGCGGTTTCGACCTTGAGCAACCGTAGGCGCTTCAGGTGCGAGAACTTGGCGTCTTTGACGTAAAAAGGTTGCTTGGTGGCTGGCATTTTCTCAAGGCTATGGAAGCCAACGACGCAATGGCCCTCGCAAGTGTCGCGCATTTCATTTCGTATTGCCGCAGCCATCAGACGGCGGATGTCGCTGGCATCGATGCAGTCAATGGCCATTTGTCGCGACGCCGCATCTGTTGTCGGGTCATTGGCAAGGTAGCCAACTCCACGCACATAGGGAAGTTCGATGGATGTGAAGGGCATATTTCTTGTCCTTGTATACTGGGCTAATGCAGACATGAAAGTCCCGCTTGCCGCATATGCCGCCTGGCCTATATTGCCTATGGTGCTAGCGGCCGACGAGAGCGTGATGAAGAAGTCAGGGCTGTGGCCACCGTGGACACTTTGTAGAGCACGCTCCAGGTTCCAGATGCCGTGGACCCTGGGCTTAATGACGGTGTCCCAGTCGTTAAAAGTCGCCTTCTCAAAAACGACGTCCTGGCCGGCGAGTTAGCTTTACTCGAATGCCTGGTTGGGGACATGATCAGACTCAAACTCACACGAAGAACCATTGCCCCAAAGACGACGCCATAGACCGGGGGGACTTGGTCAAGGAGTGGAATCAACTTCTCTTGCACATTTGCCGCATCAGAAACATCGCAGCGACAGACATGGACGGCGACACCTTTGCCCGTCAGGTCGCGCATCGCCTGTCGGGCCTGTTGAGTAGAGGCGCCGCTCCTGGAGACAAGAACAAGTCGCCTTGCTCCTTGCTGAGGCAACCAGCTGGCAATGTCCAAGCCGATGCCCCCGGTGCCACCCACGACAATATAAGTCGCATCTGGCCGCAGTGGGTGGACCGGTTTTCTCGGCGGGTGAACCTATATGATTCGTCCGAGTCAGTTATCAACAAAGTCTATGTCACGAGGCAAAGGGGCATTGACGTTACAAACCTTGACTCTGGCATTTTTAGTCATCTGGACAACCGTCTTGCCAATGACTCGACCCGTTTGCAAGGAACGGAAAGCAGCCTCAATATCAGAGATGGACTGAGTGTTGACGGGCCACCACGACTGGGCCTGGGAGTCGACAAAGACACGGAACGAATCGCGGAGCAACCGCCCGAGTAGCTGCGGACGCTTCTCCCTCACCAAGCCCAAATCGACAGAGCAAAAAGAGACATTGTTATTGAAGTGCGCCATTTCGAGGCGCGAGTTTTGCACAATGTCTCGCTTTCCCAGCTCGATGCATCGGCCAAAGGGGGCAACGCATTCAAACGTCGCCTGCAGAGCGTCGCCGCCCAGCGAATTGAGGGCAACGTCGACTCCCTGGCCCCCGGTGGCGTTCCGGATGGCTTGTATGAATGCCAGGTCGCGGCTGAAGAAAATGTGGTCTTGGTCGAGCTGGTAAGTCGCCATCAGGAACTCCTTCTTCTCTTGGCTGCCCACGGTTGCGAATATCTCGGCCCCAATGCTCTGGGAAACGATAATGGCTGCCTGTCCAACGCCCCCAGCGGCTGCGTGGATCAGGACGCTCTCTCCGGCCGTCAACCGCCCCATGTCGACCAAGGAGTAATAGGCGGTAGAGAAGACGGCGGGAAGAGATGCTGCAACCTCCCACGGCATGTCGTCTGGCATCATGTGCGCACACGATGCTGGGCACCGCGTGTAAGTCGACAGCGACGCGGGCGAGAGAGCACAGACTCGGTCTCCGGCACTGAAGTCGGTCACCGCCGACCCTACTCTTGTCACTATGCCGCTGCACTCCTGGCCGAGCCCATGGCCTTCGAGCTGGCGCATGGCCATGAGCACGTCTCTGAAGTTGAGGCCCGCACAGCAGACCTGGACCTCGATGTGGTCGTCAGGCAGCGAGGAGCCGTAGACGACATCGTCGGTCCAGTACAGCTCGTCCAGTTGTCCCCCCAATCCAGCCATGAGATGCAGCGCCCTGTCTTGGCTGAATGGCCGAAAGGATGGCGGGGCGTCCGGGCAATCCTGCTGGATGCTGAGATTCAAAGCCGTGTCGACAACCAAACGGGGTACTGAGACGTGCCCCTTGCGCACGGCAAACTCCATATCGCTCCGCATCAACGACGCGCCTTGGAAGAAGATGCCGTTGAATACGCCGAGTATGTGATTTACTGCCTCTGAGTCGTTGACTTGGTCCTTGTCCCCCAAGTCCAGCGTGGCCAACTTCAAGCCCGTTTCTGACCGGATACTCCGGGCCAGACCAGCTGCCATGTTACCGCCAACCGACTCTGGGTTCGACCTCGCGTGCCGGACGACCCATAGCAGGCCCCTCGTCCGGCACACTAGCTGCTGCAATGCTTCCAGCTTTTCGCGGGTGAGGTGCGATAGGGGGGAGCCGTCGATGCCGCCCACCAAGACGCACCACTTGTTGACAGCGTCAGCGGATTCCACGTCTGGCACAGTGACGAGGGCCTGACCCGTCATGTCTGTCAGGCCCTGCTCCAGACGGCGCAAAGCTTGGGTGCCGAGGCCATGGCCGCCAATGACGACGACCTCTCCGTCATCGCGGCGTTTCATGTTGCCAGTGGCCGTCGTCACCATGAAGCATCCCGACATGTGAGGCGATCCGGGGTGATCCTCGACGGAGACATCAATGCCCGAAAAGCCCGTGGCCTTCATGACACCATGCCATTGCTCGATGCTGAGCAGCGGGCCGCCTTTGCGGAATTCATCGCTGGCGAGCCACCATCCAGGCAACAGCGCAAACGGGAAGTGCCTCGGCCGGAACACCGTCTCCTCAATCAGCAACACCTTGCCGCCGGGCCTTAATAGAGACCGCACGTTGGCCATGGTTTCCTTTATGTCGGCCGTTGCGTGCAAGACGTTGCAGGCAACCACCACGTCGTAGGACCCTGGCTTGAAGCCCTGGGCAGATGGGTCGGTTGAAATGTCCAGCGTCTGATACGTCAAATGATGGCTCCATCTCTCCAGTTTGGTCTTGGCCTTTTCGAAGAAGCCGGGAGAGATGTCGGTGTATGTGTAGTGACGGAACCGCGGCATGGAACCGGGTTCGTCCCCCCCCCTCCCGAGGCTCTGCAGAATAGGCAACGTGGCGCCTCCGGTTCCGGCACCAATCTCTATTATGTTGAGATCGGGATTCTGATGGGCCATTTTGTCCATGCAGAATGATGCGCTGGCGTAGCACTGGCGAAGACTCTCCAGAGACTCGTAAAGCTTCCCCAGCCGGTCGTCTTCGAGCATGACACTGAGCGCATCGACCTGGCCATGGAGAATCTGAGGCAGCAGTTCGCCCAGCACGCTCAACAGGTTTTTGGCCCTATATGTATTATTGGCCGTCCGACTCCATGCATGCTGCGTTGTTTCCGTTTTGGCTTGATTGGAGGCGTTTTGGCATACCTGCTGTGCCCAGCGGTAAAACTGCTGATGGTGCTGGGGCAGGGCGGACAGCTCCTGTGCTGTGACAGCTTGTAGGGATCTTCGTAGATATTCTGTCGCATCGTCGTCAATTTGGTTTAGCTGTTCACCAGCTGCCTCGGAGCCGCCACCCTCAAGGGGTGCTAGCAGGCGAATGTCGTCAACCGAGAGGAGCTCAAAGCAGGGCTCCCAGTCCAGTTTGTAACACAGCGGATCCGGTGCGTTCCCCTCGTATCCCTGCACATGATTCGCAATGGGGACGACGCTAATGCCTTCAAGCTCAAAAACCGCCTTGTCTGGGTTGTCTGGCTCGACGGCGGTAATGCGGTTTTTGTCGGCCGACTGAGACCCTAATCGATGACCGTACAGCTGGAGATTGCAGCCTGTGCCTGCGGCTTGGGACAGCGAGATGGAAACATGGTTGATGTGCGATGGGACAAGGGTTGCCTTGGGCGCTTGCTGCCCGCACCCGTGAAGCACCCACATGAGCTGACAGCAAAGATCGAGGGTGACAGGATGCACCTTACAGTCCGTCATGTGCCCCCATGGCATACAGCTCATCAAGTCGGGGACACGAACTGTGGCAATGGCTCGCTGGTCTTGAGCGCCCAGGTCTTGTGCGCCCACATGTACCGATATATTGCAGAGCCTTCGAAACAAAGGTCCATACTCGACACCGCTCTTCGCGATGCTGTCGTAAAGAGTCGCGTCGTCGACCGACGCTGTACAAGATGCCCGCATTTCCGAGGCGTGGCCTCTGAGTGCAGCAGCCGCCATGGCCTCTTGACGGGAACCATGGACGGGATTCAAGGGCTTGGTCTCGTGTACCATGACGGAGCCATGGCAATGCTGCTCCCATCCTCGACCAGCGGCCCAAGAAAAGATGCTAAACTCGTGCCAGCCGAGACCCGACTTGGCATTAGCCTCGGCTTGGCGTGGCCGAAGAGTCAGCATGGTCTCGACGGTTGCATCGTCCGCTATGGCGAGAGCGCCATTTATCGAAACGTCACGAAGGTCAACTTTCCCAGCAGTGAGGCCCCGTAACTGCGCTTGCTGGGCAATGGCCTCGACCGCCATTGACAGGAAGCCAGTCATGGGATAGATGTTGATGCCATGGATGCGGTGTTGACGGATCCAGGGGTGGTCATCAACTCTCAAGACGTTCCTCCACCGCGGCTCAAAGTCGACACTGTCCATGGCCGGCGTGCCGAGAATATCATTGCGGGGGTACTTTGGATGCAAGATATCGTCTCTCCGCCGGTTAAAGGACCAGTACCTCTCGGAATGATTCCACGGATACTTGGGCAGGTTGGTCAAGGCGGCAGGCTTGCTGCCTCGTGCAAGGTTGGGGAAGTTTATGCCCCTGAAATCGAGCGCCACGCCACGAGTAAACAGCGAGACGGCCAGGTTCTGCAAGGCCTCGACTGCGTGGACGTTGCGCTCTAGCGTATACCCAAAGCGCATCTGTCTGTTCGGCTCGTGTGTCCGCACAACGTCCCTGACCGGCCTTTTGAGCGCGGGATGGGGCCCAATCTCAACCAAGGTATTGATTGAATCGTCTGCCGCTAGGAGACTGGCCAGGCCCTTGACAAACTCGACGCGCGATGCCAGGTTGTCAACCCAGTACGAGGCATCGAGATAGGTTCCTGGAGACACCTGCCCAGTAAGCGTTGAGTAAAATGGTATCTGGGATGGGCGTGGACAGAGTCCAGCAAGCAGGGATCGGTATTGCGGCAAAACCCTTTGCATGTGATGCGAGTGGTAGCCAACGTCTACCTCAAGTCTTCTGGTCCAGATGCCCTTTTGGCCCAGACCAAATTCAAGGTCGGCGATGACGTCTCGGTCGCCGGACAAAGTGACACTTGATTCGCTGTTGACACAGGCAATGACAGCACCGGAGCATTGGATCATGCCGAGAGCTTGCTCGACAACCTTGGCATTGGTTCCTACTGCGAGCATGGCTCCATTGATTGACGTATCCGTAGCCAAAAGGTTTGCCACGACACCCCGGGAATACGCAACTTTGACAGAAGCCTCCAGAGTTAGAACGCCGGCCGCGTAAGCTGCTGCAATCTCTCCGCTGGAATGGCCGACGACTGCTCGAGGACGAACGCCCCAAGACGACAGCAAGTCGACCAATGCTAACTGGATGGCCGTACAAGCCGGCTGGCTCACGTATGCTGTGCCGAGCGAGCTTTCACAGGGGTCTTTGAGAACAAGTTCATCTAAGGGGCATGAGCATATGGGTCGGATTTAGTTTGCATTTTGCAAGGCGACGTACCTATGATGGAAAATCTGGCACCGAGAGACTTGAGACAAGTGTCGACGGCTTGCATCGTCTGTCGGAAAATAGGGTATGTGCCCAAAAGTTCCCTGCCCATTCCATGCCACTGTGCTCCCTGTCCGGTAAAGACAAATGCGATGCTTGCTTCTCCGACACAATGGACTGGCTCTGCATCCTCAGCCGACAAGGCTGAGATAAGATGCGCCCCAGTCGATGCTGATACAGCCAGTCTCCACGAATGAAAGCTCCGTCGCTGGCATAGAGTATAAGCCAAATTTCTCATGACACCTTCGTCCAAGGCTGGCGTGTGGTGTCGCACATACACCCCTAGTTCCTTGCTCAGGCGAACCACTGTTTCCTTTGTATGGCCAGACACGACATAGAGCCTGCGTTCAAGAGAATCGCCCAACCTTGTATCGGCACCTTGCACTCGAGGTGGGCGCTCTAACACAACATGGGCATTGGCTCCGCCAAATCCAAAGTTGTTGATGCTTGCAAACGGCTTCTTGTCAGGCCATGGCTCTACCGTTGTGGGGACCTAGTCGTCTCAGACTTAGTTATTTCAAGAGCAGAAGCTTGTCGTTTTAGGTTTACCTTCATGTTCCACTTGTCGAGCGGAATCTCCTCATTCGCCTTCTCAAAGTTGCAATTTGGAAGGACGAGGCCTCGCTCGAGCATCAGCGCAGTCTTGATAACAGAAATAATGCCACTGGCGCCCTCGGTATGGCCCACATTGGACTTGACGGAACCGACGAGCAGCGGCTGGCTTGGCCCTCGTCCCGTCCCCAATATCAAGGCATTGCGCAGGGCGGCAGCCTCTATAGGATCGCCGACTTTGGTTCCCGTTCCGTGGGCCTCGACATATCCGGTCAGAGCCGGGTCTATACGGGCTGACTTGTAGACGGAACGGATCAGCGCCTCTTGCGCGTCCGGGCTTGGCATGGATATGCCATTGGTCCGTCCATCCTGATTTAACCCGCTGTTGACAATCAAGCATCGGATGGCATCGCCCGCCGTCTCGGCGTCTGCAAGGGACTTGAGAATGATGCATCCGGCCCCCTCGCCACGGCCGAATCCAGAGGCCCTGTGGTCGAATGCGAATGATTTACCCGAGTCTGAAACAAGCCTGGGTGCATAATCGGCGTGGTCAGCCCATCTTGTTCATCTTGACCACTCAAGGATAAGAGACAGGCAATCAATCTCACCTGCCGCGCGACATGACAATAAACGAGTCAGGCGAGATGTTTAGATGGCATCCGGCTACAATTGCCATGGAGCATTCGCCGTTTCGGATGCTCTGGCAGGCAATATGCAAGGCAGTTAGGCTGGAAGAGCATGCCGTGTCAATGGTGAGACTGGGACCAGTTAAATCAAAATAGTACGAGATGCGATTTGCCTGTAATGCTATGGCGGTACCGGTGGCGGCGTACATGGGAATAGAATCCATATCCATGTTGTTGTCGCGGTCGTAATCGGGAAACGAAGCGCCGCAAAAGACGCCCACATTGCGACGCACGATTGAGTGGCCTGGCACACCAGCATTTTCGAGGGCCTCGTAGACACACTCGAGCAAGATGCGCTGTTGAGGGTCGAGAGCACATGCTTCTTGCCTCGTCATGTTAAAGAAGGGGGCGTCAAACAATCCAACATCTTCGTCAAGGAAGTGGGCACCTTGCGGGTTGAAGGAGCCAGGACGATCAGGATTTGGATGGTAGAATGCGTCGGCGTTGAATCGATTCTTGGGCATCTTGCACCATGCGCTGCAACCTTGCGAACACATATTCCAAAACTGCTCCTCTGTAGACACCTGTCCCGGAAGACGACAAGCCATGCCGATGATGGCCAATCGGTTTGGCGGCGGCGCAGCCTCCTTGGCCTGTTCGTCCATTTGGCACGGTTGAGCTCGAACTGCTAGGTTAGAGAGTATGCAGGGGCGAGATGGAACCGCCCGCTTGAAGGTGCATAAATGAATAACCGAGTCGCGAACTAAGAATGTAGATGTATGGCAGGTTAGGTATTAATTGGCGGGGACAGGAAGATTAATTAGTAGAACACCGCGAATGCATTAGCGAAGGAAATAATAGCTCATCTTTGTCAAAAGGAATTCTGCTGGAGTGTGCATTGCACTTCTGCCGCATGTCTTAGTGGTGTTTGACAAACCAGGGAGCGGTGAACAAATCCATACAGAAAGTCCAAATTCTAGATGCGTCCCGTTATGCCAGAGGCTGCCGATTTCTCATGGTAATGACTGGGGCCCTAATCATTTAGGCTCCCGGCAATCCTTGGAAGAGAACACAAATTGTGCAGATATCCTCTGGCTACGTGTTCCCCGTGTGAACGTGGGGAACTCTGATTGGAACCACGGAGCGAAAGCGACTGGAAGTAGAGGCTGCGATGCGCTGGCAGAGACAGTCTAGTATTGTCGGGTATAAAGGAACAAGGGATAACCACAAGCTCCTATCCGTGTTCGTTAGAGATCAACAATTGAATCACCGGCCCCCGTTCGTCACTCTCTGTTTCGCTGTGCTTGGGCGCCTCACACCGAACCACTTTGCTACGGGGACCGCGTTACGGGAGCCTCTCTTTGTTGACAAGCTGCTGTGGCAGCTGGTGGCGTTGCGTGTCGTGTGATCTAACGCGTCTTGCGGGGTGCCTAGCTCTGTTTAACATCTCCCACCGTCAAGGCCAATCAAGCTTAGCAACATATAACCCTATGGTCACTGCCGCCAATAACCAAGGTAGCAACATCATCCCTAACGCACCAATGCCTCCCATCAACCTTTGTTTCATCAACATTGCGAAGGTCTCTCCGTCATTAAGCCAAGGAAACTCGGTGACTGGTACCGGATTGCCTAAGAAATCACAGATAGGTTGCCAGCCCTGTCCCATTCGATACTCGAGCAGCCGCTCTGGAGGCACCATCTCATGGATTTGTCGATGGTGGCGGTCGTATACCGTCCGCGCGTTTCGCAGTGCCTGATCGATGTTCGTGGCTTCAAAAGTCCCACGAACAAGTTTGCGTAGAGTTCCGAAAGTCCTAAGACCCAGAAGCGGTTCGACGACGCGTTCGACAAATGTAAAGAGGGAATATGGGCTGACTTGAAGGGCCCTTTCCATGCTGCAATACCATTGTTGAAAATCGCGTCTCACCAAGATAACCTTTGCCTCGGGATAGAGTGGGATGAGTTGCGTTGCAAATAGCCCAGCTATGTCTGTGGCGGCCTCGGAAGCCCCCAACAACTCATCCCACTGCTCGCGTGTGAATGGCTTCCCCGTGTAAGTCGGCAGAACCGGAAACGAAGCGTCGGCGGCGTGGCTGATAACAGCCCAGTGTTCTTTCGAGCCCAAAATACGCATCCCATGAAGGACATCTCTGTAGCCTAGAATGGTCAAAGCCTCGGCCATAGAGGCAGTGCCTGTTCGAGGGAGACTCAGCACGAGCACCTTCATCTCTCGCTTCGGTTTGCTTTCCATTTTTGACCCGACCATGACGACAACGAACGGGCTTATAATATCGCACGGCGTTATAAAGACGGTGTAAGATAATACGGCAACAAGGCTTGCTGAATTCACAAGCTAGGAGAAGGATGCTTTGCCTTGGGGATCGAAGAGACGAAAGGTTCTTTCTTGTCCTCTGTCTCTTTCCCCCGCGTTCCACTTCCGGCCCCACTCCCCGGGCCCCCTGACCGCTCGACCGCCCTCCCCTGCCAGCGGGACCAAAAAGGTCTTGACTTTTTGACCTAATCGCTTCGCGAGCTCTCTGATCTTCTTCGCCAGATTACTGCTCCCGGACGCCGGAAATAGACCATTGTTCTCCTTCCTCCTAGTACTCGTTCGCAGCCATCCCCGTGCACCATGCCGCGAGAACACCCCGTCACGGTCTCTTCCAAGGAGGTTCGCCGTACCTTGGGTAATATTAAATCGCAGAGATCCCATTAGCGCCGTTCCCATCAGCGCCCTTTACCGCTTCTTAGAGTTCCCTATAACGAGATCCTCCGCGTCTTGCACGATATAGACCGCCGGCGCGATCAAGACCGAAGCCGCCGCCGTGAAGCTTAGTACCAATATACCGCACATACGCAATAGCCGAACAATCCATCACCGAGACTAAGAGAAGAGCAAGTGCCTTCTACGCCACCCCCCGCGCAGCCAAAACAACATACGCAGCCGCTAGCTATAGCCACTCTATTACCGAGACGACTAAGAGAGGAGCAAGCACCTCCCACTCTACCCCGCACGTAGTCGAAACGCTCGTCTAAAAGATATACGCAGCTGCCGACTACTCTATCACCGAAACGACACAGGGAAGAGGAAACACCTCCTACCCTGCCCCTTACGTAGCCAAAGGGCTCCTTTAAAAGTTACGCGCAACCACTAGCCTCTCTATCACCGAATCGACACGCACTCCACCGCTTACGCGGCCAGGGCGCTCCCCCACAAGGCCCCGGCCGGCGCGAGAAACCGTTTAACTCTAACGAGAACTGTATTAAGTCTACTATATATAACTATAATACCTATTTCCGCTCTAAGGAGCAGGCATCATCAACGAAGTCTTAGTGCAACGAAGTTCTACTTGCCCTTTAGGTAGTAGCTCCTAAATCGTTCTACTAAGCGTTTACGGATGAGAGGACGTTGCCGATTTCTCACTACATCTTCTGCTATAAGAAGACCCCGCCTTGCGAGCTCTCAACCATAGAGTGGAAGAAACCTTACCACAATTTATATAATAATATTACAGGGGCCAAAGAGCGTGATGTACGGAATGGGTTTAGGGACTTAATGCCGAAGATGGAAGCATTCGCAGGCGACCAAATTCCCACTCCTGTGACTCAGCGAAAGCTATTGGCTCAACCGAGGACACCACTGGTTGGTTCTATAGGCAAGCGCAGTCATCGATTTGGTTGCCCGACGATGCCGCCAACTGCAAGCGCCTCTGGTGTTGTGCACAATGGGCGAAACAGCAGTGCTGGCGTGAAGCGAACTTTAAGCGAAACTAATGCAGCTCTGCTGCCCAGCAAGCGATTCGGTTCAGCATCTCCAAACAAGGCAAATGCCGAACTCCTGCCGAATCGGATTCACCGGCGGGTCATCCTTCGAGACTACGGGAAGCCGATTTACTAGGCCAGCTCCCGTGTGGCCTTGCTCACTGCCCTGGAGGAATGCATCAAAGACACAAATCGTTGCATAATGCTGGCCTTCTCTATAGAGACATCTCCGTCAACAATCTTGTAATGAAATGAGGACGAGAATAATGTAACGGGCAAGCCGCTTTAACGGCGGCTGCGCCGCCTAGCTTCTAGAACCTTCCATTGGCTCGAAGCTATAAAATGCCGTTATGCTCTTATGTAGTAGATTCTCTTTCTTTCTTTCTTTTCTATCTTGATAGTAAACAGCATAGGGACTAGTTAGTTGTATCAACTCACTAGAGGCCTTTCACATACTATCAAGATCACCGAAGACACTGAAGACACTGAAGACACCAAAGTAACCGAGTCCCATCGGAGCCATTAGCATTCAGCGAAGTCGCGATGGCCGAAGATAACAACAACATGCAGCCGGACGTCCTCAGCGCCCTGGTTGCCGAGATACGAAGTCTGAGAGAAGAGAATTCCCGAAGAAATACCCTGTTTGAAGAACGTTTTATTGCCTGGAACTCCAACAACACCAGCAAGCCCGTTCGTCTGAACTCCTAGAGCCAATGCCATCTGTCACCCCGGCTGTCCCCATCGAGGACACCCATGTGGCGCCAATCACAACCCTCACCCAACCAAGCGCCCCAAATTACGAGACATCCTAAATTCGGCGGCGACAAGGCCCAGTGGCGAAGCTGGAAACTAGAAACCGAAGGAAAGCTACGAGTCGATAAAGAAGCCCTTGGAGATGCAGAAGGCCACTTTATGTACATCTTCATGAGCCTAGAAGGCAAGGCTAAAGACAACGTGACCACATTTGTGGAGATGCAAACCGAGAAGAGAACGTTCAATGTTGCTGAACTACTCAACCGTCTCGAATTGCTGTACGGGGAGAGGGATCGCAAGCAGAGCTACACGCAATCTGCATTCGATTAAGCAAGGAGAGAATGAACCATTCACGTCCTTTTACCCCCGCTTTGAGAGGGAGATCGCCAATGCCAACGCCGAGTATTGGCCAGACGACAGCAAGATTTCCTACCTCCAGGAGGCACTAAACGACAAAATGAAAGCAGCCCTCATAGGCTCTGACCCCTCTGCCATCAGCAGCTATGTTGGGCTGGCGAGGAGGTGCGATTCGCTGAGCAGCCAGATGGAACTGTTGGGTCAGTGGAAAGGCCCCGAGGCAACACAAAGAGTTCGGACAACTATGACAACTACCAGAACCATGGAGGCCAGTCTGCCCAGAAACAGTCTGCCCAGAAAACCGAAGTTAGACGAGAGGATATGATGGAATGGGAGCCAACTCTACAAGCATCCGCGAAAGTGAACGCTGCGCGCACCCGCAGTGATAAGAACACATATGGCTACCAATCCAAGCGACCAGAAGACCAAGCGCTGTTGGGCAAGCGTGCCCAGTGGGTCGACCAGGCCGAGATGGACGCCCGTTACCGTGAAGGGCGTTGCCTCCGTTGTGGAAGAGACAACTGCAGAATCGAGCGCTGTCCATTGGCTGCGCCTATCCGACCCGCAAACACGACCCGACGCACTCAGGTCAATGCCGTGACCCCTTCGACCAGCGGTCACTAAAGCCGAGATCGCCGAAGACGATGCTTCTTCTCATAGCGATGAAGATTCAGACTAGGGACACGCGGCGGCTGTGAGAGAATGGGATGTGAGCGGAAAAGCAAAAATGGACGGAGAACCGTTCATAGCAGACGTCAGGGTGAACGGCACAGACTTTGTGCCATCTCTTGTCGACTATGGCTGCCTCTGCTACGGCGCGGTCAGCAAGCGCACATTTCTCTCTCCAGTTGCCACATATACGCGTCCAGCCGCGCATCTTGGAGAATGCAGCGGGAGACGGCAAGGAGGTCAAAATCGACAAGATCACGTATGTGTCGATCGACCTCGATGGACATCAGCAGCATCGTGTTTTCATGTACGTCATCGACGATCTGAACTGGGATATGATCCTGGGTAAACGATGGATGGAAGACCAGGATGTTCACATCCATGCGAAGGAAGGATATCTCGAGATCGGGTCAATGGAGTCCAAGTACGAGACCGACGACGTTACCAGCCTCCTCAGCTAGACGTCTCTAATGTCATGGCCGCAACCTTTTAGCAGAAGCACGCCGTGACAAACGCAAAGGCGGCATTGGAGTTCACTCGGTCACAATGGCGGATATTGACAAGGCCCTAAGACCGAAACCGAAGACTGACGTAATGGAGAAGCTGCCACCACAGTACCACAAGTGGTCTCGAGCTTTCTCTCAGCAACTGGCCGACCAGCTGCCCCCTCATCGGCCAGGTGTGGACCTGAAGATCGAAGTGCTGAAAGACGAGCATGGCCGAGAGGAGCCCTACCCTGGGGACCGCTTTACAGCATGTCCCGCGAGGAGCTATTGGTGCTACGAAAGACCCTCACAGAACTACTCGACAAGGGATTTATTAGAGTCAGCAGCTCGCCAGCCGCAGCACCAGTCCTTATGGTGAAGAAGCCCGGCGGAGGCATCCGCTTCTGCGTGGATTACAGAGGTTTGAATCACATAACGAAGAGGACCGCTATCCCTTGCCTTTACTGAGCGAGACCTTGCGAACGATAGCCAAGGCAAGGTGGTTCACCAAGGTAGATGTTATAGCAGCGTTCCATAAGATCAGGGTCGCCCCTGGCGACGAAGAAAAGACAGCCTTCAGAACGCGCTATGGATCCTTCGAATGGCTGGTAGTTCCATTCGGCCTGACAGGCGCACCAGCAGCCTTTCAGCGGTATATTAACAGCGTGCTCCAGGATTACCTCGATGATTTTGTGTCAGCGTATATCGACGATGTCCTGATCTTCTCCTCTGGAAGCCTGCAAGACCACCGCGACAAAGTCGGCAAGGTCCTCCAACGACTGATGGACGCTGGGCTGCAACTGGACATCAACAAGAGCGAATTCGAAGTCAAGGCTGTGAAATACCTTGGGTTCATCATCGAGGCGGAGTGTGGGATCCGAGTCGACCCAGAGAAGGTTGAGGCTGTGAAGGGATGGGCAACCCGACGAATATTAAATCCGTGAGGAGTTTTATCGGATTCGCGAACTTCTACAGGGTGTTTATGCCAGACTTCTCGGTGATAGCGGAGCCGCTAACGCGGCTAACGAAGAAGGACGTGCCATTCCGTTGGGATGGATTGTGCGAAGAAGCCTTCGAGAAGCTCAAGGACCTGTTGATCACGGCCCCGATCCTTGCACTTCCATCCAGAAAGGAGACTATCGTGGAAGCGGACGCTTCAGGATTCGCGTCGGGAGGCGTGCTCCTGCAGAGAGATGATAAGGATGGACTGGTACGACCTGTCGCATACTTCTCGAAGAAACATTCGGCAGCCGAAGCGAACTACGCTATCCATGACAAGGAGCTACTCGCCATTCTCAGATGTTTGGAGCAGTGGGAACCAGAGCTACGGGCAGTAGAGCACTTCAAGATCCTAACGGACCACAAGAACCTGAGATACTTCTACTCGGAAAGGAGGTTGACAGAGAGACAAGTGCGGTGGTCGGAGTTCCTATCACAGTTCCAATTCAAGCTCGAATGGAGGCCGGGCCGCAAGGGCGGATTGCCTGACGCGCTCTCTCGACGGGACCAGGATATGCCGGCAAACTACTCCGATGAACGACTAAAGGGACGCATTATGAGGCTATTCCAAGACGACCACCTTAGAAGGGTCCCAATATCGACATTGTCTACCAACACCGATGGTGCCCAGGAAATCAACTTCGGAAAAGAGATCAGGATATTTGAAGATGAGGAGTTACAGCAGCTGTGGCACGCCGCACGCCAAGAAGACAAGCTCTATCAAGAACTCACGAAGCTGGTAGCAGATGGAGCGAAGAGTTTGCCAACAGGATTACAGAAGGAGAAGGTTGTCAGCATTTCAGAATGCTCGTTAGACAATAGGGGCCTGCTGTGCTTTAGAGAACGCGTCTGGATACCCGGTTCGGAGCCGCTACGTACGAAGATCATCCAGGAAACTCACGACTCTCATATCACCGGACATCCTGGAAGGGACCTCACGTACTCGACTCTGTCGAGACGCTTCTTCTGGCCGGGTGCCGCTAGCGATGTACGTCGGTTTGTGCGCAACTGCGAGGTTTGCGGACGAAACACCATCTGGAGGATACAAAGAAAGGACTCCTAAAGCCGCTCCTATTCCGCAACGCATATGGGCGAAATTACCATTGACTTTATTACTGACCTCCACCGTCGGGGAAAGATGGCGCGACGAACTGCATGGTGGTCACGGACCGACTCACCAAAGGCGTCGAACTCGAAGGATTACACGATATTTCTTCAGAAGCGGTTGCAAGAAGACTCTTCGAACGACACTACCCTGTCCATGGCATCCCAACGGCTATTACCAGTGATCGGGGTCCCCAGTTTGTCAGTGGTATGTGGAAACACTTCTGTCAGCTGCTAGGGATCGAGCAGCGGTTGTCAACGGCGTACCATCCACAAACCGACGGTGCAACAGAACGAATGAACCAAGAGGTAGAGGATTCTTCGGATATGGACAAACTATCTGCAGGAGAACTGGTTGGACTTGCTTCCAGTCGCGATGGCGACAATTAACGAGCAGGAAGCAACCTCCACCGGACTGAGTCCGTTCTTCTTCATGCACGGCTACCACAATGAGCCAATCCAGTTAGTTGAGCATCGAAGCACGGAAGACACAACACAGGAAGAAGCTGCAGCGGAGGATTTTATTCAGAGACTACAGGATGCCACGGAGTTTGCGCAAGCAGCGATAGCTATGGCCCAGGAAATACAGCAAGCGCAAGCCAACAAGCACAGGACAGCCGCACCGAGATACAAGCCTGGGGATTGGGTATACCTCAACTTGAGAAATGTCAAAACATCGCGACCCTGCAAGAAGCTCGATTGGTTACATGCCAAATATCAAGTGCTCACCGAAGTCAGCCCACATGCCTATAGGTTGGATGTGCCTGGACGTATCCATCCAGTCTTTCACGTCGATCTACTCCGGCCAGTACCCGGAGACCCATTGCCTTCGCAGAAAATCGATCAAGAGAGTGCCCCACCGGTGCTGGTGGACGGCCAAGAAATGTACCTCGTCGAAAGGATTCTGGATGAAAGAATGGAAGGTACGCATAAGAAGGTGCTCGTAAAATGGCATGATTACTCGCAGCCTACGTGAGCCCCTTCCCACTATTCGACACACTGATGCATGGAAGCAATGGAAGAAACATAAAAGAGTGTCACCTTCTCAAGTCATCTTGACACAGATTGCCACGATCCCAAGGAAGAGAAACGTTGGACGGGAGGAGGTAATGTAACGGGCAAGCCGCTTTAACGGCGGCTGCGCCGCCTAGCTTCTAGAACCTTCCATTGGCTCGAAGCTATAAAATGCCGTTATGCTCTTATGTAGTAGATTCTCTTTCTTTCTTTCTTTTCTATCTTGATAGTAAACAGCATAGGGACTAGTTAGTTGTATCAACTCACTAGAGGCCTTTCACAAATAACCCTTCTAAGACGGCCTTCTTGATCGACCTTGGCCTTCCTATACGAGAGCGACGAGAAGGCGCCTCCGGGGCGAAGAGGAAGATTGGCACGAGAGCGTTCATGGCTATAGGAGCTCTGTTGGGCGATCAGCACTCTTTCATGCACGATCTGGAGTCGTTTTCTGGGTTCTCTTCTGGATATGTATTCACTATAATGCCCCGCATTAGCGTGCTAGGGTAGTTTGTCGATACGAGAAGTGGAACTACGTTGATGTAGAGGAGTTAGTAGAATTAAAGTCGGGCTTGGTGAGCAACGAACGGCACTTTCTAAGTTAGATAGGCCGATCTTTTACCCCATATTTCGAGGCCCTGGTTCCGTGGGTAAACAAGCTGCGTCGGCTACTGTTCCCAGGCCCGTGTTTACCGGGAAGGCCGCCGGGATGCGGCGTAGGTCGATGCCGGCTGTCGCGGATGTGGGTCCGGATTGCATATCGTTCGTGGTTTCGAGCCGGAGCGTCGGCTTTGAGTCAGACGAAGACGCGGAGGTCTTATTTGGTGGGGTTAGGGATGGTCGTCCTCAGAGACGAGGGATTGTTTGTTGTTGGCTTTGCTAGGGTAGGGCAGACGCAGTAGAGCTTAACTACCCCTATATCGTTTTGCCGGCGGTGCGGCCTACTGCGACGCTGCTATAGGTAGGCCTAGGGGCCTAGGGCGCCTTAAAGTCGGTGAGCGCTTAAGTCTAATAATCAAGAAAACTAGTAGAGAGCTATTACGTAATACTATATTTAAGGCTAGATATAAACTATATAGCCGTTTATTTAATAAACTTATAAAAGGCTTAAAAAACTACTAGCTTAGCGCTATTAGCTTTTATTTAGTCGCGGGTAAGCTTAGTTACGGATTCGATAATAGAGACTAGCGGATAGTTAGCGGTTATAGTTAAGTTTAATAGATCTAAAATATATTTAGGCTATACTCCTTCCGTAACGGTAGTATTAATAGTTCTATTATAAAGACTATTACGCTATATAGGTAAAAGGAGAACGCGAGCTCTAATAAGTGCGCTGTAATTAATATATATATCTAATAAACGCGTCTTCCGATAAGTTCTACTAAGAGGCAAGGATAGTAATCGGGCTAGCTTCGAGGTACGAGAGATAAGTTAATTAGGCGAGCCTTAGCTAGTAAGCTATTTCGAAGCTACGTTATATAAGCTAGTCGGGCTAAGTTTAGCGGCGTATAAATACTAAGGTCGAAGGGATCTAAGGTAGTAGGCGAGCCCGGAGTAAGAGCTATAGCTAGTACTAAAGCTTATATAAAACGTAGTAGCGACGTTTTTAAATATAGCTATTAAGTAAATCGGTATATAAATAGGCTATATATAGTATCTATATTATTTATATTAGTAGCTACCTATATACGCTAAAGATTAAAGTATAAACTTAATATAGAGGAGTATTACTATTTATATAGATAAAAATCTCTATTTATATAGACGATCTACTTTTTCTATATATACCCCGCCCGCCTAAGCCCCGCTACCTAATTTAGCTATACTAATATAGTAAAGGAGGGAGCCGTGCTAAGTATAGCGTAAAGCCCCGCTAAGCGAGAAATCTACCCTTCCTACCTATATTATAAAGTAAAGCTATTCGCGATATTAGACCTATAATTTATCCTTAACGAGCCTACTAAAGAGCTTACTAAAGAGCCTACTAAAGAGCTCGTTAGGTTACTAATTCCTCCTCTACTGCCCTCGCTAACCTTTAACTCTTTTAACGAGCTCTATAACTTCCTTTAAAGCTTCTATTATAATAATAGCGCTGCTATTATTAAGAGCTCTAGCTTATATAAGTATAAGACTAATAGGTAGGTCTTACTTATATACGTTATATTTATTTAAAACTTTAGCCTTTAGCGAGCTTTATTAAGTAGCGGCCTTTATAAAGCTTCCTTATAAAAGCTTAATTACCCCGTTAAGATTATTATATCTATAATAAAGAGATTCTACTAAAACTAGACTTTTCGCGTTAATAATAGTTAATATAACTATAGGCAATTAATCGACCTTTTAACTTATAACGTTTATTACCGCTAAACCTAAGTATAGTAAAAGCTTAATAGAAGCCTTTCTAAGTATTATGCCCTCCTAGCTTACGAGATAGCTTTAATTATTAGGGACTCTATTAAAGAGAGCTTCTTTTACTAACGGGATATATATAACGACCGCTAGAAGATCTATACCACGGCCCTTAATAGTAAGACTATAACCTAGGCCTTTATTAATTACTATAAGAATATACCCTTATATTCCTATTATACTATTATAAAGAAATAATAAGTATAAGGAGGCTCTATAAAATAAGCTAGTAGAAAGAGGCTCTATAATATAGTCTAAGGGAATATTAGGGGCTAGCATATACTTAGCGTAGTAGTATAAGGCTAAATAATTATTTATCTAAAGCTAAGGAGAAAGGAGGAAAACTCTATCCTAGTCGTACTAGTTATCTATCTTCCTTAGTCCCTAGCTCGACCTATATTTAGGTGCTATTCGGCCTAAGTTTAGGTTAAGCTCTATCTATATATAGGTCTACTTTAGCACGACTTTAGTACGGTCGCTATAGTATAACCTTAGCCCTCTATAAGCGCAGCCTATAATAAGGAATAACCTTTAAAGATAAAAGACCTTTACTAAATAACTATAGCTTCCTTAAGGAAAGGTAGGTTAAGATAAGCCTATCTTAATAAGTAGAAATATATATAAATTATATAAGTTAATTATAAGTAGAACGGATACCTTATTACCTATTTTAGCTTAGCGGTTTTAAAGATATCTATAATATAAGAATAGGTAGGGCATAGAATATTCTAGTTAAATCTACTACCTATATTAAAACCTATAATCTTACGTTAACTATTATACTATAATTAAGCTACTTACTAAATCTAGAAGATATATTATAAATAGAGCTTTTTAGGTACTATAGAGTATACTAAAAAGCTAACTAATTAGTTTACTAGTTAATAAGTAATAGTCTATAAAGAATAATAGATTTCCCTAAGAATAGTAGGATATATAAGTAAGTTTATAAGTATCCTATATAACGCTATTCTTTTAATATATTATTTAGCCCCTTATATACTTATTATAATTTCTAAACGAAAAATCCTACTATATACCTCTTTAACCTTTCCCTTTACTTATATTATCGATTATATAATTCTATACTTAATACTTATACCGTTTTATAATTACCTTTAACGCGGCAGCCTTAAGTATATATTTAAATTTAATAATAATAATAATAAGTAGAAAGTTAAAGCTATCCTTTAAATATACCCTTAGTATAAGTAGATATAGAAGCGCTTTCTAGAAGTCTTAGGACTTAATAATATATATAAAATATATTAGTTTAAAATATATTTCCTTTAAGCTTTTAAAGTTATTAATTAATAGTTTATAGCTAACTTTACTTTTAGCCTTATTAATATAAAGAAGGAGGAAGAGTTTTAATAGCTATTATAAAGTAAGTAAAAGGTTATACTATAAGTGCCTTTTATTATATTTTAATAATAAGCTATATAGGATCTAACTATATACTACGCTTACTACTACTAAATACGCGTTTATATATATAGCTTACCTTATATTATAACGCTATTAGCTAAGGTCTAGGCT